TTCTACCAGACATCGCTTGGCGTTCTAGCACGCAGATCCAAGAAATCAGCGCGGACCTCCAAGCGTATGCTTCTGCAGCTTGCCATTCACTGCAGACGCCCTCGCGGCTTTCGAGAGGGCGTCTAATTTGAAGCCCCATTGGGACACTTCTTTAAGATTAAGTAGCGGCACGTCCCTCTACAGGGGGTATATTCAAAAATAATCAAACATACAATGGGGACAATGTTATATGTTTTATTGTTTGTGGGGAATTTGTTTGCTATGTTTTCTTTTCCGTCCAAAGTCCGCCTGTAGGGGGACATGCCCGACCTATCTCTACAACTGAGAGGGCCCGTGGCTGGCTTCCAAGAGGACCCCCTCCTCTCCAAGGGGCAAAAATGGTAACGCTAGGGGAGAGAGGCTTAGGGGGGGGGGGGGCGCCTCGACCCCCAATACAGTGGAGGCCCATGCCAAGGAACACCCTGCTTGCCTCCTCCTCCTCCTCCTCCTCCTCCTCCTCCTCCCCCTCCTCCTCCCCCTCCTCCTCCTCCTCCGTCGCTGGAGCGCCGCCTGGCGGAGGCATCACCTGCACCTGCGTGCTGCCCAACGCGGAGGACAGGTGGCCTCCAGGGTGTGCTGGGTTTCTTGGGTTCCGATGGTTCGCGTGACGTTCCCGCGCCAAAGGTCCATGGACGTCCTGGGGCCTCAGGGCTGGGTTTCCTGTGGGAGGTTTCTTGTGGTCGGGCCCCTGCTGTAACCCCCCTTCAATGGCCGACAGGAGTCCGGCAGCCACCCCCGCCCAGGAACGTGCGGCTTCGCCATCGGGGGCCTGGCGCCGATCTGTCGGCGATGTGTCGCCGAGGCCAGAGCCATGCCCCCCCCCCCCCCCAGCCGGTTCCCCCCCCTAACCGTTCCCCGCCGCCCTGGTCGGGCGAGGCAAGGGCGGCCAGGACGAGGATAATTCCGACGCTCTCGGAGCGTTCCGGAGCGCTCTGACGAGGCCGCGGCGCCCGAGGCGTCCTCCAGAGCCGCTGGATCTCGGAGACTCTCGATGTATCCTCGCCCGCTGTTCTGGCCTCGTCCTGGCCCCGGCCTGCCCGGGCTTCTCGTCCTGGCCTCGTGCTGGCTTCGTCTGGCCCTGGCTTTTCCAGGGGGGATCCCCCGCCCCTCGCGGAGTGCCACGCCCCTCGCGCCGTGGAAGCACCCCCCGCTTCCGTGCGCGCCGCCGGCGGAGGGTGGCCGACCCGGCGCGGACGACGAGGCCCTGGCAGAGCGGCTCTCGGCCTGGTCGCGGGAACGCCGGTGAGCGCCGGGGCTGCGCGAAATCGCGCGCGCGCGCCGGGGCTCGGGGGCGGCCAACGCAGACCCCCCTCGGGCAATGAAAGAGTCCTGGCGGGAGGGTCTCCCTCTTTTTCGGCCTCGGGTCGGGAGGCCCTTACCCGTCAAACGACAACTCAGGACGAGAAGCCGGTCCAGGGGAAGGGGTCAAGACTTCTGAGGGTCGACGTCATGAAAGCATCATGGCGTCGGGGGTCTGGGCTTTTCTGCCGTCCAGCCATGCGCCGGCCTGTTTCGCCGTGACCAGGAGTGCTTGACAGGGCGAGGTCTCCCCCGCCCGCCCCCCGGTCGGGCTGCAGTGCTGGTGGCCCAGCGTGGGCAGTTTCAGCGCACGCCCCGGGCGGCCCAAGGGCTCCCGGGCGGGGCCCCGAGGATTGTCGGATGGCTCCAGAGGCCGCGGCGCGAGACGGGCCCATGAGGCCCCGCGAGCGCTCCAAGACGCGCCAAGGTGGCCTCGAGAAGAGGCAAGAGCCCCCCAAATATGCCCAAAGAGGGCTCCATGAGGCCCCCCCAGATGGCCCCAGGCAGCCCACATCGTCACATTCCCGGAAGAAAACACATACATTTTCAGCATGTACGACTTTCGGGCTTCCACCTCGTCCTCGACGGCCCAAACGGCCCCCCGAACCGCCCCAAGACAGCCCAAGAGACCCACAATAGAACCCCAAGACGGCCCCAGAGAGCCCCAAGATAGCCTAAGATGTGCCCAAGAGGGCCCCAAGGGAACTTCAATATTGCTCTGAGAGCGCGTCAGACTGCCAGCGGGTCCCAAGAGGGCCCCAGAGGCCCCCTAAACAGCCTGCACAAAGGCCCCAAGAGGGACCCAGACAGGCCCTAACAGGGCCCAAAGAGGCTTCAAACTTGTTTCCAAGGGAACCACGATACCCCACGTTCCTTCTTAATCAGGCCAAGCCTCTGACTCGGTCCCGCGACCACGGCGACGACGCCGTCGGCGCCGTCGACGCCGACGACCCCATTCCCGCCCTCGTGTCTTCCGTGATTGCGCGCCACAGTGGATGAGGATAGGAATGATGAGGGTTATGATGAGGTGTTCGGAGTTGACCAGAACTAAGCACACGCGTAGCGCGCGTCTTTCTAATAGATCCATCGTATATGTGCGTGTGGGAAACAGTCCGTGTAAGCTATATGGTGCCATGTATGTGGTACGCGCAATTTGTTGTAAGCTTTGTTATGCAATAGGGCCCACCCAGCGCACGAGCCTGTCTGGCAGGCAGCCACGGGCGGCAACGCGGCGAAAGTGTGCCGGACACACCTAGCGCACCTTGTGCAAGCACAGTTTGGGGCAAAGTCATTATTCATTGACTCATCTTCCCTGTTGTCCTCCTCCTCCTCCTGCTCTTCCTCTACCTCCTCCTCCTCCTCCTCCTCTCAATCTCCGAGTGGCTCGGCCTGAGGTGGCTGACAGCACTGCGTCAGCTTGTGGGCACCAGTTCCAAGATTGTTCGTCGGCGTCGTCCTCGTCCACGTCCTCGTCGTCCTCGTCGTCCTCTTCCCTTTTCTCATCATCTTAGTGGTGGGGGGCTGGGTGCAGGGGGCCTCACGAGGGAGATTTGCCGTCAGCGACCGCGCTCGATGATGACACATTGGCGGCACTCTGCACGATTCGAGGAATAATCGGCGGCACAACCATAGTCATGGGGAGCTCCGCGCGGATTTCTTGGATCAGCGGTGGACCCCCCTGCGTGGCGCGCGTAGCTTGCCAGGGGCAGCGTTGCAAACGCCGCCAGACGAGTCCAACGTCGATCCGAGCAGTTCGCGCGGAGTTCGGAAAGGAATGGCCATGTTGGTTTTCTGCCTCCAGGTGGTCCGCCGGATCCCTCCAATTTTTGCCCCCGTTCCCGTCCCGTACACTTCAATCCCCGTACCTCTCATTCCCATTTACTCCAGATCTTTCAATAAACACCCCCCCGTGCCAACCTGTCCGACGCCCCTTGCCCGCATCCCCCACGCGCCCCAAACCCACCCCCTCTCGCTCCCCAACCTCCCCACGCCCCCCGAAGGACAGCGGTTTCCCACCCCCCCACGCGATCCACCCTCCTCCTCCTCCTCCTCCTCCTCCTCCTCCTCCTCCTCCTCCTCCTCCTCCTCCTCCTCCTCGTGTGACACGGGCCCCACGACGACGACGACAACGACGACGACGGCCAGCACGCGGGCCGTTTCCGCCCCGCGCGAGGAGAGCATCAAGGTTCCCGCCGGCTCCCACTGCCCTCCCCCCCTTGCGCTCTCCTCTCTACCTCCTCCTCCCCCAGCCCAAACTTGCTTTCGATATGGGGTTGCTAGCCAGGGCGGGACCTCGCTAGCATCCCCCATAAACAGGCTGCGAGTTGGGGTCTCCCCAAGCAATGGGTGTCCCCCATTGGCAGTCCCAGATGCGGCCAACGGCCCCGAGGGACTGCTCAATGGCGGCCCGCTCGCAGACCTGGCAGTTTGGTCAGTGATCCTCCTCCTCCTCCTCCTCCTCCTCCTCCCCCTCCTCCGCCTCCTCCTCCCCCTCCCGAGACCTGGAGTGCTGTCTCGTCCCATCCACTTGCCCTGCAATCCCCGGGCCTCCTCCCCCGCCCGCCGGGCCCGAAGGCGCAGGGCCAGACCCCAGGCGAGAGGGCGAATGGGGAGGCGACGCCCGGCCTCCCCGGCCTTTTTCCTCCTCGTCCCCCTTCCTTCCCCCTCCTGCTCCTGCTCCTGCTCCTATTCCTCCTCCTCCTCCTCCTGCTCCTGCTCCTCCTCCTCCTCCTCCTCCTCCTCCTCCTCCTCCTCCTTCTCCTCCTCCTGAGGAGACTCGTCGACCAACTCGATCAGGGATTAGTTCTTCTCCGTTTCTCGAGAGGGTGTTGCGGCCGCCTGTTCTGCAGGCTTGCGCCCGTTGGGATGAGTGCCCGGCAGGTTTTCTACGGGGTGTGTGGCTGCAGGGGGTCTTGTCCATACCTCTACCCTTCCCATACCTCTACCCTTCCCACGTTTTCCACTTTTTGGGCCTCGTGGGTTCGCTTCGAAATTCTGGTCAGAATCAGAGGAGCATGAAGTATTGATATTGATAGTTTTCCAGATTTCCAGGTTTTCCTGTTTTTCCGCGCGGGCTCCAGGGACGAATGGTCGAGCGCATTCCGTCGCGCAGGTTCTTTGCGCGATGTTCGCGGTGCATTTTTCGCGCATCGGAGCGCCCTCGAAGATTCCAAGCTGCATGCTGTGTTGCTTTTGGGGGGTCCGCGAGTCGCAGCTGCCATGGTGCTGTTTTCGAGGTGGCCCCTTCGAGTGCTGTTCGCGGACGCAACGCGCGGCGCGCGCTGCGCCCAATCGCGCGCGGCGCGGCGCGTGAATCAGCCGGCCGCGCCCGTCAGACCGCCTGGACATTTTTCTGGATTGTAGAATGTGGTAGAAAACGTTTATGTTTTTTTTGTTGCGCAAGCGGTTTCCGGAATTTTTCACAAAGGAGCCCGGAAATTTTCAAAAAAGGTTTTGAGGGGTGGAATGCGCCCGCCGCGCAGGACATTTGAAGAATTCTTAAATCCGGAATTTTTCAAAACGGATTTTGGAATTTTTCAAAATATATCCCGGAAATTTTCAAAAACGATTTTGGTATTTTTCAAAAATAGGCCGGACACGTTCAAAAACGTTCCAGGATTTGTTCATCTTTCCCCCCAGGGACTTTTCCAGAGTCGCGCATGATTTGCCTTGCCAGGTCTTTGGAAATCCGCCGAGGCGCGCGGTGCGCGGCGGCGGGCGATGGGACGGTGCGCCACCGCACCCCCCCCCCGCGCTCGGCAACGAGAAGGGGGGTCAGCAACGGCCAAATAGCCCCTTACGGGCGACCACTCGATTGCGAATGGGTGACCCACCAGCGGCGCCAGCCAGAGTAGACAATACTCGACGCAAAGTGTACCCCGCGCGAAAGCTGTTAGAAATCCCGGAATTTCCGGAACGTATCAATAGCACGCTGTGTCAATAGATTCTTCTCGTCCTACAGAAAGCACCCCAGGAGAGGTCCGTGGAGCAGCGGCATCGGCACCTTTTGGCTGCTCCAGTTTCCATTCCCTCCGCCTCGTCCACCCCGCCCTCTCGCCCTTCCAGTTCCCGGGGGTTGTCGCCCGGCCGGGTTCGGGCATCCACGCAGCCGAGGGCTCGGGGCCACCAGGGGCGTGAGCAAGTGCTTCGGCGCGCACGAGGGGCGCGGGCGGGGCTGCGAAACAGCCCAGCAGGCCCCCAAGAGCGCACTGGGAGTTCCAACGCATTGAACAATTCAATCCGAAGGTCTTGCGCCAGGTTCGGCTTCTGGGGGCCCTCGCCAGAAAACGGCACGGGATTCAAAGGCTGGCTCCAGGCAAAGGGTCGGGACTGCCAGGGGCCGCGCCTTGAGAAAGCAACGCGTCGGATCTCGGGGTAGCGGGGGGGCACTGGGCGCCCGGAAACGCGTGCATGCAGGGCCTTTGTCCTCGAGAGCACTCGGCGCCCACTTGCCTGGCACGCAGACGTCCATCTGGCAATCAGGCTCCAAGGGTTACGATGCTCCAACCTACTTTAGCTTTGATCACGAGAAAGAATTTCGAGCTCCCAAGTACCGAAACTCAATGGTTTTCACGTGTTGGGCCCTGGGAGACACTCGCCCGACACGGTTTCGACACTCCTTTGGCACTTTGCCGGGCGCTCGAAATTAATTCTGGGATTTGATCTTTAGTAGGATAGGAACAACATAATCCAAGGAGGGTTGTTGCACATTTGCCGCCACCAGGTCCGAGTCAGCTCGACATCGTTCGATCGGATTGATGCCGCGCGGTCTGCGCAAGTGGCACGGCGTTACGCATGGGCCACCGATCTTGGACATCCCACACATCAGGCGTCGTGATTGTTTCACAACGTGGGCATCCGCATGTGTGGACCCCCTCCCCGGCGCCAGCTCTCCATCCCGAGCCGTTTGTTGGCAGTCCCAGGGCCTGGCGAGGGCCCCTGGAGGCTGGCCGAAGACAGCTGCCCCCCCTCCACGTCGTGGTTTTTGTTCACGACGCGAGGAGATCTGGGCTGTGTAGGCAAATGCAGAGCATCCCCAGTCAACCCGCACAGTGAGGATGGGCAACCTTCCCAAGGGTACCCTTGCATCCTTGCCCCTTCGGCCCATCCTTAGCGACTTTAGCTGGCCAACCTCGCTCGAAAAACGTCAACTTGGCCCTCCAAGGTCCTTGCATCCCTATCGCGCATCCTTACGATGCGGGTTGATCGTATCACCCAGCCTGGGCGGGGGCCGATGGCGAGGGCCCAGCATCCTTCACCGGGCGTCAGAAGAGCTACACAGAACCCCTGGAGACAAGTTGACGGGGGAACAACGTAAGATCGTCGTCGTCGCCGCCGTCGCCGTCGCCGTCGTCGTCGTCCGTCGTCCGTCGTCCGTCGTCCGTCGTCCGCCGCCGCCGCCGCCGCCGCCGCCGCCGTCGTCGTCGTCGTCGTCGTCGTCGTCGTCGTCGTCGTCGTCGTCGTCGTCGTCGTCGTCGTCGTCGCCGTCGTCGTCGTCGTCGTCGTCGTCGTCGCCGTCGTCGTCGCCGCCGTCGTCGCCGTCGCCGCCGCCGCCGCCGCCGCCGACGGGGCGGCGTCGGGGCACGGCGCCGTGCCCGCCTGCGGCCCGCAGCCGCGAGGGCCGCGCGCGCTCCCCGAGGGGCCCGCAGCCGCGCGGCACCTCGGGCGGAGCCGAGGCGGCGGCGGGCCGGCGGCGGACGACGACGACGACGACGGCGACGACGACGACGGCGTCGACGACGACGACGGCGGCGGCGACGGCGGCGGCGACGGCGACGGCGACGGCGACGGCGGCGGCGGCGGACGACGGACGACGGACGACGATCGGCGGGCGACGGCGGCGGCGGCGACGACGACCCGTCGCGGTCGCCGTTTCCCTGGCTGCCTTGGCCCGAGGAGCCAGCGGATTTCCAGGGTGATGCTTACGATCCTGGCAAGTTTCCTTCATCTCGGCCTCGGGAGCCCGTCATCGGGCCCAGGGGCCATCAAGAGTAGATCCGGGGCGACAAACGGGCCCCGGGGAAGAGGTGGGGGCATGCGGGGCCTCGTCCTGGGCTTCGGAACGATCGAAGTGGGTTACGGCAAGAACAGGGTTGTAGACCGGCAGCAGTTCTCACGGCAGCTTCGCGTCGTGTCGACCAGCCGCGACCCCGCTGCTGTCGTTCAACGTTGAACGCCGCCCGTGGCCCAGAGTCGGCCAATCGTTGAACGATCTGAGGTTTCGAAAACGGCCGATCATTCAAGGTTGAACGATCCCCGCGGTGGCAGAAACCAACGCCGAAGTCGGCACAACACGACCTTCGCGGACGTTGTCCGTTTGATACAGAAAGGCGCTTGCCCAACAGCGGCCGCTGACGGTTCTAGTCAACATTTGCTGTGGGGGCATCGTGCCAACTTTTTCAGCACCCACGGGCGGGTCACTGGCGGAACAAATCACGAGAGGAAGGCTTTAGGCGTTTATCAGCCTCCAGGGGCCCTCAACATGCCCCGGGGTCGCCCGGAAACGGCTGTGGGTGAAAGCGCAAGTCCCATGGAAGGGGTCTGGACCTCTGTGTGTCCGCGTTGTTAAAAAGCGACGACGTCGCATGTTACGAGTGGTTGTTATTGCCGCCGGATTTCAGTGGCTGCCATTGCCGCTGGACAAGCTAGTGTTTGCCATTGCCTGGCTCACTAGAGCGCGCGTGCGGACTTAGGGGAACGAACAACGACATAAGCATAGAATCTCTGAGGTTCGCGCGGATGTCTTGGATCGGCACTGGGGCCCCCTGGCGGCGCCTCCGGCCACGCCCCTGGCGCCCTCCGCTCGCCAGGGAAGGGGGTCGAGCGCCGATCCGAGAAACCCGCGTGGGCCTCCGAGTTGTTATGCTTCTGTCCCTGTGCGTTCCCCTAGGACTGCCTCTGCTGCGCTGCGACGTTCAAAGTCCTGAGTGGCTGTCGCCAGGCCGACCGCCTAGACTCAGGAGAGGAAAAACACACAGACACAATTAATCGTCGACACCCAGGAAACTATAGGAAAATATGGGAAGTGGGGGGGAAGACGAAAACCCAGAAAATACAGGAAAACATGGGGAATCCTGTTATAGTTGTGTCTACTTTGTGTGTGTGTGTGTGTGTGTGTGTGTGTGTGTGTGTGTGTGTGTGTGTGTGTGTGTGTGTGTGTGTGTGTGTGTGTGTGTGTGTGTGTGTGTCCCAGGGCCCCTTCATAGATAGCCGGCAGACGGCGAATGGATTTCGGAAAGCAACACTCTGGCCCGAGGGCCCATTTCGGGGCGGGGCGCCGCCCGCCGAGGGGAGCACGGCGGGCGCCGCCGCCGGGCCTCGGCCCCGGGAGGCCCCCCCGCGCGGGGCGCCGGGGCCCGCCCTCGCCCCCCCGCCTCGCGCGGGCGTGTGCGCAGCTCCCTCGGCGGGGCCCGCCGAGGAGCACCCGGGCTGACGACTTGGCATCGCTCGGACGGGTGCGTGCTTCCTTCGGCGAGGGCCATGGAGGGGCATCCTTGATCATGTGCGGCGAAAATCTGGACGCCCGAACTGGGTACGGAAAGAGTGGGTACAATGCCCAACAGCAGTTCCTGTTCCTTTTGAACAGGACTCGCTGTCCGCGCCGCCGCGGCCTGTGTCCATTCGAGACAGAAGGCCGCCTGCCCAACAGCGGCCGCTGTTGGTTTGGGACAACATTTGTTGTTGGGTATTGTACCCACTCTTTCCGTACCCAGTTCGGGCGTCCAAAATTCGAGTAGGGGGTCGACTACAGAATTGAGTCACCCAGAATTGACTTTCGCGTCGAGTTTACAAAATCAGTAAAAACAAAGCAAGGTTCGGAGGTCTACGGGTCATGCTTGCGTGCTTTCGTAGATTCAACGAACAACACTATTTTGGGGTGAGTCAATCATGATGCCGATCCCCTACTCGAGCCATGAGGGGATCGGGAGCCGCGGGGCAGCGGGGCAGCGGGCAGGCGGGGGTCGCAGAAGCTCGGCGGGTGACGGTGGTAGGGTCCCTAATGCGTTGGACACGTGGCGAAATCCGAGCCCCACCCCCGCCGCCCGTCGATTCGGGAAAATCGGTGGTTGATGTGGGTACGGCTCCGATGTCGCCACCTAGATGCGGGAGTAGCAGAGTGGCTTGCGCGAGCGAGAGCGGTACGGGGGACGCAGTCGGGGCCTGGAAGTTTAATAAACAGTGCTCTGCCCCCACTCAACAGGCATGTCCGTGCGTTGCTTTTTTTTGGATGGGGGTTCGAAGCTGGTTCAAGGCACCGCTGCGCTCACGGAGCCCTGGCTGGCCTTCCGATAGCATCTTGGATGATCGCCTGTCTCCCTCTCCCATCCACCAGTCCTCCAGGAGGAGGAGGAGGAGGAGGAGGAGGAGGAGGAGGAGGAAGAGGAGGAGGAGGGGGAGGAGGGGGATGAGGGGGAGGATGACGGGGAGGAGGAGGAGGAGGGAGGGAGGGAGGGAGGAGGGAGGGGGAGGAGGGAGGAGGAGGAGGAGGAGGAGGAGGAGGAGGAGGAGGAGGAGGAGGAGGAGGAGGAGGGAGGAGGAGGAGGAGGAGCAGGGAGGAGCCCTTCGTCCCCCTCTCCTGCTCCAGCCTCCCCCCGCCCCGCTCTGCGTCCAGGGCTGACCTGCTGGCGGCATGGCGCAGGAGGCCAACGCGCCGCCCCTGGAGGCGGCGCCGCTGCCGACGACAAGGGGAGGCGAGACGAGGGAGGATGGCGAGAGGAGGAACGGGGAGGAGGGAAGAGGCGGAGGAGGAGTAGGACGACGACGACGAGGGAGGATGGCGAGAGGAGGAACGGGGAGGAGGGAAGAGGCGGAGGAGGAGGACGACGACGACGAGGGAGGATGGCGAGAGGAGGAACGGGAGGAGGGAAGAGGCGGAGGACGACGACGACGACGACGACGACGACGACGAGGGAGGATGGCGAGAGGAGCAACGGGGAGGAGGGAAGAGGCGGACGACGACGACGACGACGACGACGACGACGACGACGACGACGACGAGGGAGGAAGGGGGGCGGAGTGCCGCTTCCGCCGAGGGGGACAGGGGTTTGGAGCGTCCGACCGGAGGCTGCAGTTCAGGGGGGCGCGGGGGACGTCCGCATTCTCCTCCTCCCCCCTCAGTCTTCCTCCTACTCCACCCGTGTTGTACAGTCAGCCCGCATAGTAAGGATGGGCAACCTTCCCAAGGGTACCTTTGCATCCTTGCCCTTTCGGCCCATCCCTAGCGACTTTCGCTGGCGAACCTCGTTCGAAGAACGTTCACATGGGCTTCCAAGGCCCTTGCATCCTTACCGCGGATCCTTCTGATACGGGTTGACTGTACCCAGATCTGCGACTATCTTTTTTTGTCCCATCCCATCGCGCTTTTCTGTCGTATCGGTCTCTTTGGCGGCCGGTCTTGCATCCTAGAGTCTTTGGACCATCAGAAACGGATCTGGGGCGAAAAACTACCCCATGTGGGGCGAAAGAATAACCCCCCTGGGGAGGGATCGGGACTTCTGGGGACAAGGGTGGAAAACAATTGCTTGGCAAAAGTCAGAGTACGTGCCTTGGCTTCTCATCCGCCCACCGCGTAGGTGTCAGGCGTGCCGTCCGTCCTCTGATTCATGGGCTTACGCCGCACCGCCGACCCCTTGGGACTGCTGGTAAGGCCTTGGGGGGGGGTCCTTGCTGCACCGACAATCTGTCTCTCGCTATCTTGCGCGTGGTCTTACTTGTGCACTGGACCCCCATGTCGCCGCGCCAAACTGCCGCCGGTCGCTGCGGCCTCGCACCAGGCTCACTTTGAGCAACTGGCGAACCAGCCGTCGCGCGAATTTCATATGTGACGTGTGTATGTATTCGATGATCTCATATATGTATCATATATATACACAAACAAATATGTATATACACGCGTACATAAGATGGGCAGGCATGCGCGCACAGAGGTGGCACTGCGTGGTGCCATTGGACAGCGTGTTTTTGGGCTCAAGACTTGGCCCGTGGTGTGTTCATTCGGCGCCAGGTAGACCCATCCCGCCTCAAGGGCGGAAGTGGCGAAGAAGGACGACATCCTCGGTGCGTACGGAGGTCGACACTGGTTCGGATTTTTTCGATGTTGACCGTTTGGGTTGATTCGGCCGATGGACCATTGTAGCCGGCCCCACTGGGTGAATTTGCCGATCCAAGCCGACATGGCATTTTCCTGTGGAATCTGGGAAGCCAACGAAAACTCGAGTTCGGCAGAAAAATCGTTGAACGACAGAAATCGCAAAGGCATCAAGTCGCAAGTCGTTGTTTGCGCAATTCCGTAGCAAGTTGGACTTACAGCGGTCCATCCATCGAAGCTCGGAAGCGAGGGAAAGTGTGCGGGGATGGAAACTCGGAAGCAAGGGCCTCCAATATGACACAAAAGCGACAAGGGAATATTTACCTTGACGAAAGACCCACCCATATGCAAGTGCGAGTGCCGCAGGGCAGGTGGGACGAAAGATGGGGCGCTCCCGACTGGGCCACGAACCGCATGAGTGGTGTGCCGACGCTGAAGGGGGATCCGAAGGAAGGCTTCAGGAAGGCCGCGGAGTCAGGGCAGTTTCTTTTTTGAAGTGCGGTCTCTCGGAGGGCCTCGCAAAGAAGTTGTTGAAGCCTTTCGTGGCTCAGTAGAGAGAGTGTGAGAAATATCGGGAAGATTTTTTGGCCGTGTTGGAATGTTTTTGGCGCTCTTTTGGGCCGTCTTGGACGCATGCAGGACGAAAAAAGCGAGTGAGCGAAACAGGTACGTTTCCTATAGGACCTAGAACATGGTCGACTCCTCTGGCTCTGTCGGTGGCCATCTAGGAGCACTCTTGGGTCGCGTTGGGGGCCGCGTGGGTCACCGCGCACCCATATCGGACCGTCGCGGGATTACCCTGGGTCATTTGAAAGCCCGATCGAATTATCTTGGCGTTCTGTGTGAGCTCTCTTGGGCTGTTTCGAGCCTTTCCAAGGCTCCCGAGGTTCAGGTCAAGCGTTCGCGAAGTCAGTGGCCCGGGGAAAGCCCCCTCATAACGTCATTTAGGGCCCCAGGGGATCGGGAAGAGTTGAGGGGCGCAACCAAATGTCTCCCGCAGTTGACGACCACCACTTTGCATGCTCCACCCCAATTACACATGTGTACCCCAAGCCTTCGATTGCCAGCGCGCATC